TTTTTTTTTTTTTTTTTTTTCCATCTTCAGTTGCCTCTGCCACAGCTTATATGAAGATAGTTGTTGTTCTGTTAACTGAATACCACTCTGTAATTTAAAAAAAAAAAAAAAAGCAGCTGTTTTGTTAACATCCTGAATGCTTCTAAGTAAATACAATTTTTTTATTTTTTAAAAAAAGAAAGAACTGTGACTGTAAATAAGAGTATGCTTTGCTCCCCAACAGCGTGGACCCCTTCACCTTAAACACAAAAAAAATGAACACAAAAATGAAAACTACAGCTAGGAAGAACACAGCTAGCAGGATTTGGGCATGCTTGTCCAGTTTTTTCCCTTGCACATACATGTTAATATTTAATATCTGCAAGTATTACATAAAAATACTGTTCATTAAACGGTGTGTTCTATTTCCAAGTCATCCAATTGTCCCCGGAATCCTGACTTTGTATTTTCCTTGTGTGAATGTTTTCATTGTTTATGCGGCACAGTCTCTGTTTGAGGTGTTTATTTTTCCATAGTCTCTATTTTCCTATTGTGTCAGACAAGGTCACAATGCCCTGTCCATTCCTAGCTAAAACCAACACACACACACACACACACACACACACTGGGAGAGGGGAAAAACTCTGTTTCAGAGAGCTCTTCTTGGGATAATTATGTAATAGCTCTTGGAAAAAAACAGGACAACATCAACCAAAATGTGTGCCACTCACTGTTCCCATAAAAATACATAATAAATAAATAAACTGACTCCCAAAGTTTTATGCCCACAAATAATAGTTAATAGAGGAGGAATATCATTCTGAGAAATAGAATGTGTAGAAAGCCCTCCCCCCAAGGTCCCCAGAGACTGAAAGTGGGTAAAAACACAAAGGCTAGCTGCAGGGTGACCTAGTTTCTGCAAGGCAAAACAAACACCCTTGTCTACAGTTAGAACAAACACTCAGGGTTGGTGGAGAGAGATAGAGGACACACACTTGACAACTCCTCTGGCCTCTGCAAGCGCACACACACACACACACACACACGATGTGTGTGTGTGTGTGTGTGTGTGTGTGTGTGTGTGTGTGTGTGTGTACACATAGAAACAATAAGAAAGGAAAATGTAGATTAAAAAGTATTACAAAGGTAAAATTAGCAGATTGTAGCTGCTGCTGAGATTATATGGGGCAAGAAACAAGAGTCTAGGGATACATGCCAGGTGCCTGGAGGATACGGATTCATAGACTAAAGCAGCTACTAGAAGTCAAGTGAGGTCCACAGAGGGCACAGGGCCCGTTTCCAATATGAGTCACCCTGACAGAGATGCCAAGCAAGACATTGGTCATGTGGACCTGGAGATTTCTGAGATTTTTGAGGCATCTTCACAAAGTCTTTCCTGCAGTGAGAGAGGTGGATGAGGAGGTCCTGGGAAAGATCAGAGACCAAAAAACAGAGGATGGAGGACAGTTGACTGGGAACTGTCGAGATTTGGCAGATCAGTTTTCATTCAGTATAAGAAGACAGAGAGGAAACAGAGTTATTCTCACCTTGATTCATAAAATCCTATCTGATAGATGCTGGGAAGTGTACTATAGACCACCAGGAAGCCCCCAGACTTCATAGGTGTGGGGTATCCAGTTCTCTGGACAAAGACAGCAGCCCCAGAACTGATACCAAGGAGGCTGGGGAAGTGAAAGGCACAGGACTGAATCATAAGGCAAGTCCCCCAACCGCCCTGGGCGGCTCAGGTGGCGCTCCCTCGTCTAAACGGTACTGATTTGCATTATAAACAGCTGTGGGCTCTTTGTTCCCCAGACCAGTCTGACTGGTTTGTGCAGCAAATGCTTTAAACCTGCGAGGTCATAAATCCTTGCCCATCTCTCTCAGGTGAGTGTTTTCTCTCTACAGAAACTGAGTCTCACCGTTTCTCCTGATGATCTCAAACTGACTTCTCCTGTTCATCATTCCACACCTCTTCCCTATGCTTCAACATAGTCTTCTGTAAACTAATAGAATCACTCAAAGCCCTGGGATGACTTTTTTTTTCTTCATATTTTCTATGCTTTAATAAATGTTTTGCATAGGTAAATACATTCAGTTAAAACTATTTGACAACATGGAAACAGACAAGAAATAGATAGGAATTCTGAATCTTTCCCAATAACTACACAAAGGAAACTCTTAACCAAAGTTGCCATTTGAAGTCTCCACTCTTAACTCACACCTGAAAGAATCTGTGGTCTTCACCTTCAAGGGGGTCACTTTATAGAGAAGCCCAGCTTAAACACCATCCATGCTTTAAAGCATTACTTCAAAAGCAGAAGTGTCTCTAGAAATACAGAATGTTTTCAAACCCGAGCTTAGGAATTTAACGTTGTTTCCATCCATTCCATCACCAACTTGTCCAGTAAATTAATACAGCCTGGGGAAATGATTATTCCTTCCCATAGAATGGTTCTGAAATCAACATATTTTCGTATCTGATGGAAAGCTAGGCATGGGAGATGTGGTCACTCAGGCTTTGAGTTGTCGGTCACCTGAGCTAACCACAGGGACATTAGGGCAAGTGATTCTCAGGGGCCCCTCGCTTGTCTGGGAACCATGGTCTTGCTTCTGACACCCTTGCGGTGGAGGTGGGCTCCTCAGGGGGCCCCTTCGCAAGGACTCTCCTTGAAGCCTTCTCACTGCCCAGCTGTGCTAACCAAACCTCCCAGTCTCTCAGCGGGGCCAGGAGCTGGGAAAAGGTTTGGTCAGGGCTGAGGAAAAGAGCTTCTGCGGAGAGTCTGGGACTCAGAACCGAAGCAATGAGAGCTTTGGGGCTGTAACAATGACAAAGGAGTATTAAGATCTAAGGCTGCACAAGGTTTTGTAAACAGCAGTGAGCTTTCGGAGAGGCGTTCAAGAGTTCAGTTGTGCAAAAGGAACAAGGCGAAGAGAGGCCTGGAACACAAGGCCTGAGAAGGATTTTCTCCAGGCAGCCAAGCAGTGTTTCTGTTTAGTAAAAGTTCAGCTATACCTAAGTGTGTGTTTATCTTCACTTTTTAAAGATTTTAACAAAATGATCAAGAAAGAACTGTAGGCATTAACGTGATCAAGTTACACTATATTAATTTATTACTAGTTTGGGTCTTCCTTTAGCTTCCTACATTATCAGTGATGAGTTTCTCAGCAGCAGGTACAACAGCTTTTAAACAGAATTTATAAAGAGAATAATAAAACAGAAAACATAAATAATCAGAGTAAGTGAAACAAACCTGTACAGTGTGAAGTTTATCCTAATTTATATTAATATACTTCCATGGGTTTGATTGTTAAACTAAAATCACCTTATTCTAAGCACACTATGAATCATCATAAAAGATTCCAAACCTTAGAAATCATGAGAACTTCAAGATCTTATTGGTAAGGTTAAAAAGTCTAGCTGTTGTGTTTACTGACTAACTTTGGTCTGGACTTTCTGGACTGCTTCAGGCCAAGAATAGCAATCAGGTAGGATCTGGTCATAATTAGTGCTGTACATCTGGGAGCAGACAAATTCTTCTTTGTTTTGGGGTTCAGGATAAACAGTGGCCATCCTTTCTCTGTACGCATCTGTCACAATCTTCACTGCGATTTTCAAGGAAACATCTCGAATTGTATTCAAAGGAGGATAGAGCCCGGTCCTCTTCTAGGTGTTTATCAGACACCTGCTGAGATATGACCCTTCACTGCCACTGCTGTCCTCCTCAGCAAGAGCCCTGGGATGACTTTGAAGGGATGGAAACAGTAATTTTTTAACAAAAATCTCCATCATCAAAATACATTGTAAAAATGCATGAACTGTTTGAAGAATAAATAAATGTTACTTGTAAGAGATTCTGTCATACTAGTGTTATAAATAAATAACACTAACTTAGTAAAATGACCCAATGCTATGAGCAGAGTCTTGAGTTGAGTAAGCCCTTGAACCTGAGTGAAATCATGACATCAAAGCATTCTGTAGACTATCACGAGGCTGAGAGAAGTCTATGTGAACTCAATTCAGACGTATGCATTGAACTTTAAATACTTAAGGCTATGGTAAACAGGGAGAATTAAATAAATCAGGCAATATCCAACAGCTCTAGAAAAAGCACTTGCATGAATTTTTTAGGAATATGGATGGCACCGTAGAGACAAGAGAGGTAGGAGTTGAGACCATGTAAGCTGAAAATAACTTATGATTTTTCTTGGATCTAGAGATGTAGGGCCCAGGTCTTGTGATGTACTGCAATCCACTGTATAAGATTTGTGGTACATCATAAGACATGGAAAGATGGTAATGAATGTCACACAAAAGGACTATGGAATACTTTGGTTTTAATGTTTATTGATTATATGTTTATTCTATATTTCCATAGATCATTAAGACATTAGCTGCTACATTCTGGCTATAGTTTTTATAACGGTTCAGAAAAAAAATATTTTATAAGAAAGTTTTCATTTTACTAGAAAAAAAATGAAAGATCTGAGAGATCTGGAGAGATGGCTTGGAGGTTAGGAGATTATATTGCTCTTATAGAGAATCCAGGTTTAGATCCCCAGCACTGACATAGCAGTTGAAAATCAACCTTTAACTCTAGTTCCAATGCCTTCTACTGACCTCTAAGGACCCCAGGCATGCCCACGGTACACATACATGCACGAAGGCATAGCATTCAGACACATAAACAAAACAAAAAAAAAAATGAAATAAATAACGATGTTTAAAAAATCCGTTGAAAACAAGACTTGATTTACAACAACAAAAAACGTGTCAGAGCAAGCATTCAGAAGGTATGGCTTGTGCTTTTATTAGGAAAGAGGAAGAAAGACACACGGGGAAAGCTATGCAAAGGACAACCCAAGATGCCCTTCCTGTCATGCATCAGGGGCTATCAGGAGGATGCACTGTCGCATCAGTTCAAGTCAGAAAAGAATCGGGTTGTCGCTGTTGATTTACAGGATTTCAAAGCTACAAGAGAAAGGAAGGGAGCAGCAGCTGCCGCCTCTACAACTGTGAGTAGTTGTCTATGAGGAAACAGCCGCCTGAGGAAGTACAGTAGGACGAGCTCCTCAGTTGCCAAGGCATCTGCTACTCCCGACTGTAAAACTTAGTCTGGTGCTGTTTTTGCTTCTCCTGAGGCCAGGCCGAGAACCAAGCAATTAACAGCACAGCTGAGAAGCATTAGCAACCTGGGGTCCAATGCAGAGGTCGCTTCTAAGCCACAGAAAAGGTCTGAGCCGCTCATCATCACTATCGGTGATGGCTAGTTTTGACTCTCAACTTGACACAACATAGAATCACCTGAGAATCTCAAGGAAGAATCCTGGTTGGGTTGTCCTGTGGGCATGTCTGTGGGTGTGCCTATGAGGCATTTTCTTAGTTGGGAAGCCCCATCCTGGATGTATCTGCACAGTTTCATGGGCTGGTCATGGATTGAGTGAAAATCGGAGTGCCAGCCGAGCAATCGTGTCCACTCACTAATTCATTGCTTTCTGTTCTTGACCATGGGTGTGGAGTGACTAGCTGCTTCACATCTCTGCATCTTGACTTCCCTGTAGTGATGAACTAGAACCTGGAACTATGAGCCAAACAAACCCTTTCCCATCAAGTTGCTTTTGCCTGGGTATGCTGTCATGGCAAGAGGAAAACAAAAACAAAAAGCTAAGATGTTGTCTAATACAGCACAGGCTTGGTGACGAGCTACACACCGATAGGCCTCACTGAGCTAATCATGTGATGGGCGATGCTAGGCTATATATAAGTTAGCACTGTGGGTGCCCTTCTCAGGATGCAGAAGCGAGTAAGGTAGGTACTGAGGTATGTATGCACATGCACGAGGCAGGTGCTCACAGGTTCAATCTGCTCCCCCTACACAAGGATAAGAACTTCTGCTACGCTCACATCTCAAAACTCTTCATATCAAAAGGTTGCGCCTGTCCTGACCACGTCACCTGTAATTATTTCCCTTGTATTTCTTATGCGATTTAAACCAGGTAGCTTTCCCTGTTTATCCTGTTCTGTTTATCTCACTTTCACGATACGATATTTATCAGGCCCCTGCTGTGTACTAAACAATACGCTCCTGAAATGTGCTTTGCTGTGCACTGTTAGACAAGGTAAAGAATATGTCAGTACCTAAGATGCTGTTCTGTTTACCATAGCTGTAGATTCCTTGAATGGGAAGGAAAAAAAAAAAAAAACCGAGCCAACCAGCGGTGAGTGTCTTTCCTGCTGGCCCTGAGCTCAGGAAGATAGGAAACAGGCTGATGGTTCTTCCCACCCCTTTTTTCATGGCAGGGGGAGATGGCTGTTTTGTTATTCTTGGCATTGCACTAGAAGTCTGAACTGAAGTTTTCCCTGCGTCCCGCAGTAGGACTGAGTACTGGAACACTGCTCCGGAATTAAGCGAAATGATCTTCCAGCAGCCCTCCTAGAAGCACTATAAAGGCACATTTTGGGGACACCGTAGCTGAGTCCACACAAACATCCATATCAGAACAGCAACTCAGCAATATCAGATTCTTGTCCATCGACATTACTGAACGGGCTGGGCTCGATTTGGGGAACATGGTTTTGTTTTGTTTTGTTTTTAAATACATAGATAGACCCCTGCGGATAACTGAGTCGTTTACTAACGGGGGTTTGAAGGTTATTAGCTGACGCGGAAAGCAATTAACACTATTATTGCAGAAACAGTGATCTATGTCCATTAGGCGAACGCTTCTAAATTCCACCGTACACTTTGACACGAGGTGCCTTTGACCCACTCACTTTGGCAAAACATTGAAAAGATGGACCATGCCTTTTTAATGAAAAGACCCAGAACCTGAGCTGTGACAGCCTGGGCTTGATCCCTCCGCTTCTGGGTCAGCCCAGGTGCCCAGGCACCCAGTTGGTATTCCTGTTAGTGTATGTGGCGGTCAGAAGCAAAAGGGAAGAGAAACCGCTCAGGGTCACGTGAGGTGTCAGTCACCACAGGTACGGAGCTGCGCTTGGGGCCAGCCAGGTGTACCCGCCCTGCGTCTCTCGGGCTTAGGAACCGACCAGCCACCAGAGACTGGAGGGGAGCGAGGCAAGGGACAGGAAGGTCATCCCGATCCCAGCCTCGCTCCCCTGGCACGTCCCGGGCTCGGCGATTGCAGGGGATCAGACAGCTCGGCCACACTGCCTGGGCTCCGCCGCGCGCCCGCGCCGCACCGAGCCGACTCCGAGGCACCGCCGCGAGCTGGCGGCCGCAGCCTAAGAAGAGGTGAGGGCGGGTCCGGGCGGCGGGGACCGCGGAGAGTCGCTGCTGCTGGCACTCTGGCACCCAAGCCTTGCAGCTCAGCAGGAGGTGTCCCCCCCCCCCCCCACCCCACCCCCGCCAGCTTCGGCGCGCGCGGCCTCGGAGCTGCTCTCCAACTTCTCTACCGAGCCGCGCTCCCGTCCTGCGCGCGCTCCCGCGCACCCCGTCTTCCCCCACCCCTACCCCGAGTCCTCCACTCCTCTTCCTTTCATTCTCACGCTCTCACGCTTCTAGGCCGACGTGTGGAAGTTACATTCTGGACAGCCCCGGCTGTGATGCTGAAGAGCTCCGAGCCAGCGCTCGGCCGAGCCTCCCGCCGGGATCCCCGGCAGAGACCGCCCCCGGCCCGGCGCTGACATTTAAGTCTGCACTGCTCAAGGGCGACCCGCGTCTCTGCTGCCCCGGTTGCGGCCGCTCTGCACCCCTAGGGACTGGGGTCGTGGTGGGCTGGCCACATACACACCGGGGATCTGCACGCCTGGGTGAGTTCCTGGTCTTCCTCGGCCACCCCCGTTACCGTGGAGAACCTGTTTACCCTGCAAACTTGAGATGTGACCAAAGCAGCCCAGCCTGCCTTGCAGGGTTACGCTTCCGATCGCAGGGCGATAAATTCGGCACTCAGAGCTCAAGGGGATCTGCTCAGAGGCTTAAAGGTGAAAATGAATTCGTGTTTCTGGGTGCACGTGTAGCTTTCCCTTTAAAAGCCGTGACTTGGGAAATGATTTTTTCTACCCAGCAGGAGGCGGGAACTGAGATAACTCGCAGCCTGAAAGTTTCCAAAGCTGAGGATGAAAATACAGTTTATTAGAAGGAAAGTCAAAATAGGATGATGGGATTCGTATAATAGCACTTGCCTTTTGTGCAAGCCTTTTTGCATTAACTTGGGCTCTTGGTGATGAATAATATGCAGAAAGAGGCAAGGCTTTAAACAACTCCGAGCCAATCCATTCTTTATATCTTAGTTGCTGTGTATGAAATCGTTAAAATGCACATAGGAGATTTCGTGCAGAAAAAAGACTAGAATAGATCCGTGTCGTTGGAAGATTAGGTTATTGCCAATACAACTGGTGAGGATTGGCATTTAACACTTTATTTCCCAGCTAAAAGCACAATTATTCACATGACTGTTAAGGTATCTTATCTTTCTGCTTCCTGGAAAATGGGTGATTAATTTGTATTGAGCTTTAGCGAAGAGAGAATTGTAGGGTTTTCAGAGATCAAGCTCTCTGCCTGGCCGCTAGGGTAGTGTAAACAGCTCTGGTGTCTGGTGCCTTAGAGTCGGCTGGGGGAGGGTCTCTGGGGATGACGATCACTGGGAAGACATGCCTGCCAAGCTTGTCCAAGAGCCACTGACTGACTTGTTGTGACGGCGGCTTATTCAAAAGAAGATTGTGGCAAATTGAAAGGTATCTCATTACTAAGGAAACCATTCCAGAGAACAGTCACATTTTAAAAGGGAGCTCTCTACAGGCCTTTTTCCTCATTCAAAAGAAATGCTACTTCTAGAAAGATCTGATAAGGGTAATGACGCTCTTTGGAAATAGTTTGTCCTTTGGTGTGTGTCTTAGTCTAGCTAAGATACAAAGGTAGTTCAGGCATTTTAGTAATTTTTTAACTTACCAAAAGGATGGTAACATTGAAAATGCTTGATCTGCATAGTTAAGAACTTAACCTGATTTTAAACGTAGGGGCCAGGTGGCACTGGATTCTCAGCAAACCTTAAACCTCTGTTTAGTATAGGTTTTGGTTTGTTTGTTTGTTACTGATCTTTGAAAGGCCTATAAACACGGAGTGCTAGGTGGGCCCATAATTCTGAAGGGTAGGGATGTTTATGCTTCTTTAAGAATTGGCGCCGCCAGGTGGTGGTGGTACACGCCTTTAATCCCAGCACTTGGGAGGCAGAGGCAGGTGGATCTTTGTGAGTTCGAGGCCAGCCTGGTCTACAGAGTGAGTTCCAGGAAAGGCGCAAAGCTACACAGAGAAACCCTGTCTTGAAAGAAAAAAAAAAAGAATTGGCCTCCAAAGCTTGATGCATCTGATTGTGAAGGTTGTTTCCCTGCTCTGAAGAAGCCACTGTTGGCAATACACAGCACAGCATCTTGATGTTGAGAGAAGAGTTCATGGTGATGTTCTGCCTGGAATTTTTAAGCAGGATTTGAACAAAAGATCTCACTGAAATGAGGCCCTGGCATAGCGAATTGCTGCAATTAGACTGTCAGTGACCTTCGGTTTTCACTTGTAGATGAATGAGGATATGTTCTAAAAACAGTAGCATGAAAGTGTGAAGAAAACTGGGGAAATTGAGGAAAGCTTGGAGGGACGAAAGCTGAACTGAGCTCCGCTCTGGCATAATTTGGCCCCTGGGAAGGCTGAAAGAATAGTGATTCGAAGCGGCCAGCTGAGTGCCTCTCTGCTTTTATGACTCAACTTCTCTAGGTAACCCGAGAGAGATTTTGCTTAAGAACATTTGATAAGAGCTTCTCAAAGGAGGTGAATGGCATTCATTTGGGGACCGTCTATACCAAAGAAACTTCCGGCCACCGAAGGAAAGCCTTTTGCAATTGAACTAGGTCTCCTAAAGTGAAACCCAGCCCAAGCCATTTCCTCATATGCGAAGTGGGCGTAATGATTTCTCTGAAGGTGGTTGTGGGGAGTGGATGGAATAATGGTCGTAAAATGCTTAGTCTACTGTTAGTACACGGTGAGTAGTTATAAAGAGTGGAGAGAGGTGCTGGAGAGATGATTCCACAGCTAATAATGCCTACTGCTCTTTCAGAGAACCAAGAGTTCAGATCCCAGGACGGCACATCAGGCAGCTCATAAATGCCCACAACTCCAGCTCCAAGGGATTGGATATCTCCTCTGGGGGCACTTGTGTACACACACACACACACACACACACACACACACACACACACACGGCATGGGGACTGGATAGAAGAGGAAGTGAACTGAGTGTGTTGATGTAGTGATACCCCCTGAAGTTGCATAGAGGGTGTCTTAGTTAGGGTTTCTATTTCTGTGAAAAGACACCATAACTGCTGGGTGGTAGTGGCACACCTTTCATCCCAGTACTCGGGAGGCAGAGCCAGGCAGATCTCTGTGAGTTCGAGGCCAGCCTGGTCTACAGAGCAAGATTCAGAACAGGCACCAAAACTACACAGAGAAACCCTGTCTTGAAAAACAAAAATAAATAAATAAATAAATAAATAAATAAATAAATAAATAAATAAATAAATAAATGAAATAAAATAAAAAATAAAAAGACACCATAATCAGGGCAACTATTACAAAGGAAAACATTTCCTTGTGATGATTCGCTTACAGTTCAGAGGTTCAGTCCATTATCATCATGGCAGGGATCGTGGTAAAATGCAGGCAGATGTGACGTTAAAGTAGTAGCTGAGAGTCCTACATCTTGCAGGTAACAGGAAATGGTCTGAAAGCCACACTGAAGGAAGCTTGAGCAAAAGAGACCTCAAAGCCCGTCCCCACAATGACACACATCCTCCAACAAGGCCACACCTCCTAATAGCGTCATTCCCTTTGGGGACCCTTCTCCTTCAAAGCACCACAGAGGGGTTTCTGCGTTGTGGACTAGAAGTGAGTGTTTGCTCTCGAGTTTCCTGCCTACAGAACCACCAACTAAATGGAACTCACGAGGCAGCCCGTACGTAATATGAGGCATAGAAACTGAAAGTGAGTGACTGCAGAAATGAGGAATTTGACCTGTAGAGGGACGGAGGTCTGAAATGTCACTTCCAGAAGCCATATGAAGAAAGAGCATGTAGTGGAAAATGAACAGCACCTGCCCCAAACCAGAAGAGCTGGGAGAACTACCCAGAGCTCAGGCACCTCTAATAGGAACTGTGTGAAGGAGGCAGGAAGAGCGGGGCTGGCCTGGGAGAAACTTTTTTTTTTCTTTTATATAGTCTTAGTAGAAATCTCGTTGTATGTGGATGTCTTGCCTTGGGATTGTTTTGTTCGGGTTACATACACTATCAAACCACAAAAGGAGATTTGAGACTTTTAAGGTAATCTGAAATGAATGGTATTTATCATAATTCATTTGCCAGTGCTTTGCATTAGGGGTCTGACTTTAAGAGAGTGTAGGGCTGGAAGTATAACTCGATAGTTAAGCACAGGTGTCATGTGCAAGGCCCTGAGTGTACCCCCAGACCTCCTCCTCCACCCTAAACAAGGTTTAGATTAATCTCCCTTTAAATTTTTAAGACTAACAGAGTTCGGTTTAAAATGCATGTTATGTATATTCCTGTCATTCACACAGGCATCAGCTCCACTAAGGAGCTGTAGGGCATGATTCACTTTGAAATCTCATGGGGAAGGCTCTGGTCACTCAGAGGAAAGGGCAGGGTAATGGCATGAAAACCTTCTCCCCTGATGAGTAGGTCTCCTCAAGGTCATTTGAAGGACGTGCGGTTGGCTGTTTTCTGCATATAGGTGGATTTATTATTTTTATTTGTCTTTCCCCTCTTTCCTTCTGTCTTTCCATGGGTGTCCTTGATGACTTCCCAGCTATTATAATCATGCTTTGGCTTCAACTCCATCCCTTCATTTAGGTAGTCCTGGTCTGGTTTGCAGCCTTGTTCTTTATCACACAACTATGTGTCAGAAGGGCACAACCTTTCCCCTTTTTTCTCCCAAAGCATTTCCTATGGTTCCTATGGTTCCTATGGAACACCCCCTTTCTTGTGACAACCAGAAAACTGTTGGAGCTACTTTGAGGCAGAAAGGGGCATAGTGTGCACAAAAAAAGTTAGAGTGGAAAGTCGCTACTTAAGAAAGAGGAGAGAGTGCTTGCGAGCCCTTGAGATTCCTGCAAAGCAGCTGGACTGAAGTGGCCCCAGGGCTGCCACCTTCATTACCACCGCCTGAATTCTGAGACTCGGCCACTAGCAGAAGTGCTGACTTCATGAACATGTCATTTTTCTGTATTCCAATGATCAGAGGATGTCCTGCATTCTCAACCCCAGGAACCAAGGGAGAGAACACCGTATCCACAGCAGAAGCAGGCCAGCCAACGTCATCCCTAGACACCTTCTGCTTCCTTCTCCAGCCATTCTCTCTGAAGGAACCTCATCTGTCACTGCACCCTTCTAAGGATTCTGGGAAATGTAGTCTATAGATTTCTAGTCTTGGAGATGATGGAAGAAGTTAGGAATGACAGTTGAGTGACAGATCAACATGTCTAACACATATCTAAGAGAAAGAATGCTTAATTCAAAGTAGGCTAAGATTGACTTTGGGTTATATTTTGTAAGAAAAAAAAGAAGAGAAAAAAGAAAGTAGTTGGTAACCCTTTCAAACAGATGGATATTGTAGGTATAGAGTTGAAATTTCTAGGGGGAAAAAAAGCATTAAGTAAAAAAACAAAAACAAAACAAACAAACAAAAACAAAAAAAGCTTACTGTGCCAGTCACTATACATCTAAACATAAAATATTCTTTGGCTTGGATGAGTAATTGAAATAAAATATTGGGAAAATGAGTTTTTACCTGTAACTGTGTATTCTTATGTTGTCTGTTTGGTTTATGTACTTATTAGTGTGAATGTGTGAGTGTTCAGGGCTTAGAAGCCCAAGGCTGATTCTGGTTACCTTTCCTTGATGGTTTTCCACCTTCATATTTTGAG